TAGAAATCTGTTACTAGTGATGATGGCTTTCGTTTTTATTTTACTAAAAGAAATATGAAACCGGTTCATTATTTAGTACACAGTTTTTTAACTGGAAGATCTGCAATACGATTTAAGATCTTCAAAGGTAAATTTAATATTGAGACCGGGGTTAGAAGATCCACAGAAGGTATTCTATGGACAGAAGATTTTTAAAGTTTATAGAAGACAGCGGAAGAGTTGAATTGAGTCTTTATAGACGAGCTGAATTGAGACTTTATAGACGAGTTGAAGGGAGTCTTTATAGACAAGCTGAAGACAGTCTTTATAGACTAGCTGAAGGGAGTCTTTATAGACGAGCTAAAGGGAGTCTTTATAGACGAGCTGAAGGGAGTCTTTATAGACGAGCTGAAGGGAGTCTTTATAGACGAGCTGAAGGGAGTCTTTGTAGACGAGCTGAAGGGAGTCTTTATAGACGAGCTGAAGGGAGTCTTTATAGACGAGCTGAAGGGAGTCTTTATAGATGAGCTAAAGGGAGTCTTTATAGACGAGCTGAAGGGAATCTTTATAGACGAGCTGAAGGGAGTCTTTATAGACGAGCTGAAGGGAGTCTTTATAGACGAGCTGAAGGGAGTCTTTATAGACGAGCTGTAGGGAGTCTTTATAGACGAGCTGTAGGGAGTCTTTATAGACGAGCTGTAGGGAGTCTTTATAGACGAGCTGTAGGGAGTCTTTATAGACGAGCTGTAGGGAGTCTTTATAGACGAGCTGTAGGTAGTCTTTATAGGCGAGCTGAAGGGAGTTTTTATAGACGCGCTGAAGGGAGTCATTATAGACGAGCTGAAGGGAGTCATTATAGACGAGCTGAAGGGAGTCTTTATTGTCGAGCTGAAGGCAGTCCTTATAGAGGAACTGAAGGTGGTCTTTACAGACGACCTGAAGGGAGTCTTTACGGACGAGGTGAATGAGTCTTTATAGACGAGCTGAAAGGCAGTCTTTATAGACGAGCTGAAAGGCAGTCTTTATAGACGAGCTGAAAGGGAGTCTCTATAGACGAGCTGAAAGGGAGTCTCTATAGACGAGCTGAAAGGGAGTCTCTATAGACGAGCTGAAGGGAGTCTTTATAGACGAGCTGAAGGGAGTCTTTATAGACGAGCTGAAGGGAGTCTTTATAGACGAGCTGAAGGCAGTCTTTATAGACGAGCTGAAGCGGAAGTCTTTATAGACGAGCTGAAGCGGGAGTCTTTATAGACGAGCTGAAGGGAGTCTTTATAGACGAGCTGAAGCGGGAGTTTTTATAGACGAGCTGAAGGGAGTCTTTATAGACGAGCTGAAGGGAGTCTTTATAGACGAGCTGTAGGGAGTCTTTATAGACGAGCTGAAGGGAGTCTTTATAGACGAGCTGAAGGTCGTCTTTATAGACGAGCTGAAGGTCGTCTTTATAGACGAGCTGAAGGTCGTCTTTATAGACGAGCTGAAGGTCGTCTTTATAGACGAGCTGAAGGTCGTCTTTATAGACGAGCTGAAGGTCGTCTTTATAGACGAGCTGAAGGTCGTCTTTATAGACGAGCTGAAGGTCGTCTTTATAGACGAGCTGAAGGTCGTCTTTATAGACGAGCTGAAGGGAGTCTTTATAGACGAGCTGAAGGTCGTCTTTATAGACGAGCTGAAGGGAGTCTTTATAGACGAGCTGAAGGGAGTCTTTATAGACGAGCTGAAGGGAGTCTTTTATAGACGAGCTGAAGGCAGTATTTTATAGACGATCTGAAGGGAGTCTTTATAGACGAGCTGAAGGGAGCCTTTATAGACTGGCTGAAGGGAGTCTTTATGGACGAGCTGAAGGGAGTTTGTATAGACGAGCGAAAGGTAGTCTTTATAGACGAGCTGAAGGCAGTCTTTATAGGAGAGCGGAAGGGAGTCTTTATAGACGAGCTGAAGGGAGTCTTTAGAGACGAGCTGAAGGGAGTCTTTAAAGACGAGCTGAAGGGAGTCTTTATAGACGAGCTGAAGGGAGTCTTTATAGACGAGCTGAAGGGAGTCTTTTATAGACGAGCTGAAGGCAGTATTTTATAGACGATCTGAAGGGAGTCTTTATAGACGAGCTGAAGGGAGCCTTTATAGACTGGCTGAAGGGAGTCTTTATGGACGAGCTGAAGGGAGTTTGTATAGACGAGCGAAAGGTAGTCTTTATAGACGAGCTGAAGGCAGTCTTTATAGGAGAGCGGAAGGGAGTCTTTATAGACGAGCTGAAGGGAGTCTTTAGAGACGAGCTGAAGGGAGTCTTTAAAGACGAGCTGAAGGGAGTCTTTAGAGACGAGCTGAAGGGAGTCTTTAGAGACGAGCTGAAGGGAGTCTTTAGAGACGAGCTGAAGGGAGTCTCTATAGACGAGCTGAAGGGAGTCTCTATAGACGAGCTGAAGGGAGTCTCTATAGACGAGCTGAAGGGAGCCTCTATAGACGAGCTGAAGGGAGTCTCTATAGACGAGCTGAAGGGAGTCTCTATAGACGAGCTGAAGGGAGTCTCTATAGACGAGCTGAAGGGAGTCTCTATAGACTAGCTGAAGGGAGTCTCTATAGATGAGCTGAAGGGAGTCTCTATGGACGAGCTGAAGGGAGTCTCTATAGACGAGCTGAAGGGAGTCTTTATAGACAAGCTGAAGGGAGTATTCATAAAAGATCTGAAGTTTAGGATGTTTTTATAGAAGAGCTGCAACTCAAATATTCTCTGCATCTTTAAAATATGATGTAAAGGACATGGGAGCCTTCTCAGCTTTTCAAATGGCCTAGGAGTAATTATTGAGTACAAGGCAAGGGAATATTTATAACCGAGCGATAGTGTTCCTATACGATCACAGTAAATCTCTGTCTCAACAAGCCCTCAGGAAAAACCCAGTCGGCAGAATTTCCACCTTGCGTACAGTAGCTACCCCTGCCGATGCCTTTTTCAAGTTGGCGACAAATGAAAACCGCCATACTGACAAGATAAGTACGAGCAAGAAGGCAGAAAATCTGATTGAAGTGACTACCGCTACACCAGTTGCAGCTGTTCCTAAAGAAATACAATCCTCATCACAGCAGCCTTAGACAATCAAGTATGAACCTTCTAAGCCAATGCCAACAAATTCTTAAACAACGATGGTTTCGGATGACCGGAGACCTAACCCCAAATGGGTGTATAAGCGATAGCCATTAACTGCTTTTTCGACCGCAATCAAGTAGATGAGATTAATTGAGGAAAACCAACCTTCTGCAAAAAATACGTCATTACTGCGGACACTTCAAACCTTCGGTCTAATAAGCGTGAATATTGAAGGAATGTGGGAAGAACACCACAAGACGAAATCCGGACCAAGTGATAATGTTTCATATGAACCTTCTAAGTCAATGCCAACAAATTCTTAAACAACGATGGTTTCGGATGACCAGAGACCTAACCCCAAATGGGTGTATAAGCGATAGCCATTAACTGCTTTTTCGACCGCAATGTCATGAAATCAGTAGTTTTTTATTAATATTCCTTATAAATCGGATAAACGTTCAGTGATTGGTGAACAAAATCGGACGAAATATATATATTACAGTCTAAATATCGTCTAAACATTAATCTACAGGTCGGACGAATGTGATCCTCCATGTTCCTGTTTCCTTGAGTCTCAAAGCACACCTTGTTGCCTGGAACCTAACCGTAAGGTACATTGACTGGAGATTTAAGATTATGTTCAATGCAGCTTGAAGTTATAAGGAGCGATTCCGATCACTGCACACAGTTTCATATGGTCAAGAGTGTTTATATGTCGGTGAAGCGCATGTCACCATACAAGACATCCATAAGTTAGAATAGGAAGTAGCATACAGCTAGTGTGCAGTCTAAATCTCGTCTACATTTGAATGGGGTTCATTTTTGAAAAGTCATATATATGATTGAATAGAAATTTCATTCTTGGGGAACCCTCTAAGTGGAAGCTGGGGAACTATTACTCCAGAAGAATGATCTGAAAATATGGACTGACAAGGGCAAATCTTATTTTTGATATTAAAGGAAGTCAGTTATTTGATACTGCAATACTAAACTTTCAGTACCCTAAAAATATTTCTTTGATTATTTTGAGAGAATCGATTGGATCGGAACCAAGTAACCGGATTTCATCATAATTATTTATAGTTTCATTTATTCCGCTTGGAACAAAAAGAACCGAATGAATGCCAACACAATTACAATGTCAATCGAATTTTTCAACACTTTTGTGAATGGGCAACAGAAGATGATGATGGTGATGAACTCTTCTCTAGAGATATGGATCGGACGACGGAGCAGCAGCAACAGCATCAGCAGCCCCAAACGAAAGATTCAATGAATGAAAGAATGAATGAAGAAATGCCAAACAACAAGACACACACAGAGACAGACAGACATGAATAAAGACAAATCAATGCTGGTGGGGTTATTTCTATAATTAAGTGGTTCGGTCGAACAAATGTCGCCATAAATGTAAAGACAAAGATGCTGGCTGGCTGACTGCCTAGCCGGACGACTTGCTGGTTGGTTAGATGGTTTGTTGGCGGTATGCCTATCAAAATCCTGTTTTTGTTGTTGTCGTCGTTTCGCGTAGATGCCATGGTCGTCTTTTTTGTTTTTGTTTCGTTGACTGCTTGGCTGCTATTAGTTGAGATATTCGAAAATTGATAAATAGGTGATAATCAAAAGGTGTAAAGCACAACAACAACATCATCACAAACTTGTAAATTTTCTATTTCAATAACAAAATTTTTTTTGGTGAGTGGGAGGTTGATTTTGTTTGGGTAGACGTAATTAAAAAACTGTTTAAAGACCCCCAGCGAGCAAACAAGCAACAACAAAAGTAATGCATTTCTAGCATGGCTAAAAAAGGTGAATTTTGTTGTTCGTTTGCCGCTTATTTTTTTGTTTAACTAATCCAAAACGGAAACATTTAAAAATCGATTTTGGTAACCAATATTTTTACTTTTTATGGAATTTGTTACGATTTTGAATATTTTCTTACCTTTAAGCTTAGTGTCTGCTTGGAGTTAACATCATTATAGATTAATATATTCTCTTTCATATTGAAAGATTCCCGCACGCCCAAATGATAGGATAATGATCGCTGATGTGATTGTATGCTTAAATCAATAACAGCCACATCGGCATTGTAAAATGTTTCCAATTTTTTCGTTTCACCAAAATCCAATTTGTCGAACTGCAAAAGGAAGAGAAATGAAATTAAATTGTATTTTTATAAAAAACTTAAATTAAATTTAAAATCGAAATCTAGAGATCTCGCAATTTATAGAATAATTTTATATAATAGCTGAAGGTGTTTTACAAACGTACTGAAGCTCAGGAAGTCTTTATAGACGAGCTGAAGTAAGACTTGATAGATGAGCTGAAGAGCCCTTTTCGACGGATTGAATGGAGTCTTTTTGGATGGGTTGAAGGATGCCTTTATAGAGTTGAGTTGAAGGGATTTTCATAGATGAGCTGAATGGAGTCTTCGAAAACGATCGAATGGTAGTATTTATAGACCATCTGAAGCCATTGAGAATTTATAGAAATTTTTTAAATAAGAGAGTATTTATTGACAACCTGAAGGATATGAAGAGAGTATTGGTAAAGCAGCTGAAGCCCATGGTACCTTTAGGAATATCTTTATTAACTAGCAGAAGACAAATGAGTAGTTATAGACGAGCTAAAGTGGGGGAGCTTTTATATGCGATATGAAGGTCAGGAATTTACACGCGAACTGAAAAATACTGAAGAAGATTGTATAGACTTGAATTTTTTTATAGACGAGCTGAAAGAAATATTCCCTGAGTCGTTCTTTCCTAGCTTATAAATCAAAGTACATCTAAACAATGTTCTGAATATCTAACTCTTGGCTGATTTAGTTCGATTTGGTTTGTTGGAGCTCAGGAAGTCTTCTTTAACCCTTTGAGCCCCGAATTTTTTTCCGCAATCTTAGAACAAATTTCTGTTCACAAATTAAATGCAACTATCCTAAATAGGATATGCACAAAATTTTACATCGCTACATCCTTGCATTCGGGAGATACTGTACATTCCTTCTGAAAAATAAAAAATTATTCTCTATATTCTGTTTTATAAGAATCAAAAATAATTCTGATGACAGAATTCATACATTTTGAATACGAAGCGATTTAAATAATTTGGACTGTATACACAAATTAGTACTGTACACATTTTTACCCTTTTCTCCATATTAAAAAAGCTCAAAACTTTACCAAAAATTTGAATTTTTTAGATTTTTCTTGTGATATGTTTCGTCCATAATCAGGACTTGACATATGAAATCCAAGGAGTATATATCTACTAACAGCATTTTGAATATACGCTCTAAAACTTGTTGTTGCCTGTGGGCAACATTGGACCACAATGGGTTAAAGACCAGTTGAAATTCTGGTAGTCTTTTTAGACGAGTTGAATTTCAGTGTGTCATTTTAGACGAGCTGAAGCTTACGGAGTTTTTATAAAGCAACTGAGGATCAGGGACTCTTTATAGACGTGCTGAAGGTCAGGAGTCTAAACGTTCTAAAAGGAGTATTTTTAGAAGGGAGTCTTTGTAGACGCAGACAGTCTTTATAGCCGAACTGAATGCCAGCGGCTTCTACTAATGATCTGGAGTACGCAAAGTATTTCCAATAAATGCAGAACATTTTAAAGACTATTAAGATCGAATAGTTTAGGTCCGGCAGTCTTCGTAGACAAGTTGAAGTTCTGAGATTTGTTTATGAAGACCAATTTATAAAGAGACTATATGATGACCAGTTTATGGTGGAACTGAAGGTCTGAGAGGTTTTATACGGGAATGTGTGTTTTTAGAAGAGCTATAAGCTTTAAATGAATCAACCTACCAACCAACCATCCTACTTCAGACCATCTTCTTTGGTATAAATTCTAAAAACAATCACGACTGAGGAGTTATACCAATTATCATTCTGCTGGCGTTTTTGAGTATTTTCAAAAGACTCTTGTGAATGATATTTTCTCAAGATATCTTTACGGCAATATGCAATTTTAGAAATCTACTTGACATTCGTTAACGATAATTATTCTCACGTATGAACCTACTGTGTTCCAGTTTAAAAATTTTGGTATTTTCTAAGGTAAATGGACCATTGACAAACTGCGAGCTTGCCTTCATTTAGGAACTATTTCGTCATGATACTGTTGTGTGTTCTACGATTCCTTCTCGCATTTGAAAATAATCCAAATCATTTTCTCCTTCTGAATCGTTAACCGCAGATTAAGTATTATCCCGTCCAACCATGTATGTGTTTTGAATACAGGTATTTCAATACATTTTTTATATAGAAGGCATTTACTGGTCTTCTATAGATACATTGTCTTATGCTAGTCCATATGTAGAATCATTATCGTATTAAAATCTTTCATATATGGAAATAATCATTCAATGCATTTATTAATTTGAAGCTTCTTATCTACACTATTGCCTTACGGGACTATATTTTAAAAATATAAACTTAAATGCTTTTTCTTCGTCTCCTTGTAAATGTCTTCTATAGAAGAAGACATAATTTTACAGCTATTCTGTAGATTTTCTACTTTACCTCAATGCTATAATTGATGCTGTAAATATCTGACTGAAAATCTTTTGAACATACCGTTGATCATAAATACCCATTATTTGTTTTGCTTTCCAAAACGAAATAAAAAAATAAACTACATAAATTTTACGTTGTAATTGTATCGATTCTGTTTAAATCAAGTGTAACAATAATTTAAATTGCAAATCTACGGCATGGTCTGTTTGTATTGGCCGGCCACCAAGATATTTACGAGCCATGCAGTGTATTCCATTTCAATTTTGCAAATCTACAATGGCAAATTGAATTGAATGCATTTCAGACGGTCGGTCAAACATAACTATTTATTGAATTGTTGAAAGTATAGATCGATTTAATTGGTATTTTTTTCTAAATCTGCAACCAATCAATTTGCAACCTTAAACTCAAACGAGTGACACAAAAGCGAGACATTGTAACAAATATTTCGTTTTTATGCAGGAAATTCATTTAAATTTCAAATATTTTTTCCAATGTAGATTAATTCTAAGAAAAAAAATAAACAAGTTAAGGGTGTGTTTATACCCTTCACCACACTGTGGCACAGGATATTATGTCTTTGTGCATATGTTTGTAACAGGAAAAAGGAAACGAGATAGACACATGGTTCCTTTTGAGAATATGCATAGAATCACTTTCTAAATCGATTTATGCATGTCCGTCCGTCCGTCCGTCTGTCTGTCTGTCTGTCCATGTTAAATTGTAAACAAAGTACAGGTCGCACTTATGATCCGAATTGGTTGAAATGGGTCACTTATTCGGCCCAAGGACGAACCCTATTGAAATTGGGAAAAATCGGTTCAGATTTAGATATAGCTCCCATATATATATTTTACCGATTTAATGTAAATGGTCCCTATATATATTTCGATTTGCACGAAATTTGGTACAGCCTTATCATTTAGGTCTAGAATGATGTCTGCCAAGTTTCATGAAAATCCGTCCAGATTTAGATATAGCTCCCATATATAGTTTCGTCCGATTTCATGTAAATGGTGCCCCAAAGTCCCTATATATCTTTCGATTTGCACGAAATTTGGCACAACGTACTGAATTAAGCCTAGAATGATGTGCGCCAAGTTTCGAGAAAATCGGTCCAGATTTAGATATAGCTCCCATATATAGTTTCGTCCGATTTCATGTAAATGGTGTGCCAAAGTCCCTATATATCCTTCGATTTGCACTAAATTAGGCATAACGTACTGAATTGAGTCTAGAATAATGTCTGCCAAGTTTCGAGAAAATCGGTCCAGATTTAGATATAGCTCCCATATATAGTTTCGTCCGATTTCGATTTGCACGAAATTTGGTACAGCCTAATCATTTAGGTCTAGAATGATGTCTGCCAAGTTTCATGAAAATTGGTCCAGATTTAGATGTAGCTCCCATATATAGTTTCGTCCGATTTCATGTAAATGGTGTCCAAAGTCCCTATATATCTTTCGATTTGCACGAAATTAGGCATAACGTACTGAATTGAGCCTAGAATGATGTCTGCCAAGTTTCAAGAAATGTAAATGGCGCACCAAAGTATATCCTTCGATTTTCACGAAATTTGGATTTATAAGTAAATGAAGATATCGGTTTAGATTTCGATATTTTGCTTTAAATTTATTTACATAATTTCCCATTGTAAGAAGCAACTCTATATCTGACCAAAATTTAGTATAGGTTGCGGAATGAAATGTTTATTTTAATGTTAATGGTGCTTCAAAAATGCGACGTTCGTTAGGATCCCATCGGTTGAATATACCCATAGTGGTGAAGGGTATCATATAGTCGGCCCCGTCCGACTTTACTACTTTCCTTACTGGTTTTTTATTATCTTTCACGTCCACCTAGTTTTTTCGTTGTTGTTATTCATTGTAATTGACAAGGAATTTGCAATTTACTTAACAAAAATCGATTTAAGGTATGATCTGGCTTTAATAATATTCTCTTGTGTTTTGTTATTATAATTTGAAATAATTTAAGCTTTGACATGAACACCTCGATTTGGTTTTTTCTCTTTTTTGCGTTCAAAACTAAATTCAGTAGTTAATGGACTACATGGATTTTAATTGTTTGCTGTCTAGGCATGTACCACAGCGCATATTTTTTTTATTCTGTCAATTTTAATTTATGAAATAGTTTCGAAAGATTTTTCCCAAGTCAATAAATTATTTTTGTTTTCAATTAATGCAGTACGTTATACAATACAATGATGGTGTATCATGCTGTTTGGAAATTTAATAAAAATTGGTAAACAAAAAAAGGAAGATCAGAATAGAAATCAAAGCACAATGACAGGAGTTCTTGAATGTATCAGCAAAATAGATGTTCTAGAATCTCTTATCTTGTAACATTTCCCGAAGTACATCAGTCCATTGAACTTTAAAACTTATAGCTCACATAAGTGGGATTTGGACAAAGTCATTGCAGAAAAGGAGTACGGGTTCTCATTGCTGTCATATTGATGTAGATGTCGCAGAAGTCGTTATAACTATATGGGGATTGATGGAATGCTAATAAGCAGAATCATTAATTAAATGGTCGGTCACCTCAGGTTGGAGTTCTTTCTTTGCTGATAATTGAGATCCTGATAAAGCTTGAAAATATTAATATAACGGGTTTTCCCTATTCGGTCGATTTAGTCTTGTTGATCGGTGATAAATTTCTGCCCATCATAACTATGTCAAATAGTTCATAGGCAAATGATCTTGAGGACAATCCCACAAATACAGAAATGATACACTTCACTAAGAAAAATAAGATTCACGACTTCCGATTGCATACGTTGAATGAAATGATTTTTTAATTATCATTAGATGACAAATTGATCGGAACAATACTATCCCACAAAGAGGTATCTAATAACACTTTACTCATTCAATAACCCCTTAGCAAAGGGCTGAAGATTAAAACGGGAAATCCTACAATAGTTTACTTACTTATGGATGTCTTGTATAGTGGCATGCGCTTGGCAGACAAAAAAAAACACTCTTGACAATATTAAATTGTGTGCAGTGATTGGAATCACACTATAACCTTCTTTGAAAATAGTCATAAATCTCCAGCCACTGGACCTTGCGGTTAGGTTCCATTCAACAGGATGTGCTTTGAGACTCGCGGAATGAGAAACGTTGGAGGTCAGAGTCGTCCGAGCTGTAGATTTATATTTAAGACCACCTATTGGCTATTACATTGACCAAAAATCCGTAAAATCTCCTACGAGAAAGCCTACAGCAGAGAGTCTTAATAACCTGGGTGCATAACTTCAACATCCATATGGTTTTAAGATTTTACGACGTAGAACTACCTCATCACCAGGATCATAACACTGATGGGTAATATCCCTCATGGTACATCAATAGGTTAGATTATTGCCGGGTTTATTTGTATTTTTGCTTATAAATACTACCTTGTGTTCAGATCAATAAATACACCGAGTCATTCAACTCATTTGATAAATACGTATTGAGCTTCAGCTCGCCTATAGATACTGTTTGGCTTCCAGCTCGTCTATAAAGACTCCCTTCAGGTCGTCTATAAAGACTCCCTTCAGGTCGTCTATAAAGACTCCCTTCAGGTCGTCTATAAAGACTCCCTTCAGCTCGTCTATAAAGACCCCCTTCAGCTCGTCTATAATACTCCCTTCAGCTCGTCTATAAAGACTCCCTTCAGCTCGTCTATAAAGACTCCCTTCAGCTCGTCTATAACGACTCCCTTCAGCTCGTCTATAAAGACTCCCTTCAGCTCGTCTATAAAGACTCCCTTCAGCTCGTCTATAACGACTCCCTTCAGCTCGTCTATAAAGTCTCCCTTCAGCTCGTCTATAAAGACTCCCTTCAGCTCGTCTATAAAGACTCCCTTCAGCTCGTCTATAAAGACTCCCTTCAGCTCGTCTATAAAGACTCCCTTCAGCTCGTCTATAAAGACTCCCTTCAGCTCGTCTATAAAGACTCCCTTCAGCTCGTCTATAAAGACTCCCTTCAGCTCGTCTATAAAGACTCCCTTCAGCTCGTCTATAAAGACTCAATTCAGCTCGTCTATAAAGACTCTCTTCTACTCGTCAATAAAAACTCCTTTCAACTCATCCATAAAAACTCTTTTTAACTCGTCTACAAATACATCTTTCAACTCATCTATACATACCATTTCAACTCGCCTATAAAAGACCCACTTCAGCTCGTCTATAAAAGATCCACTTCAGCTCGTCTATAAAAGACTCCCCGTAGCTCGTCTATAAAAGACTCCCCGTAGCTCGTCTATAAAAGACTCCCTAAAGCTCGTCTATAAAGACTCCCTTCAGCTCGTCTATAAAGACTCCCTTCAGCTCGTCTATAAAGACTCAATTCAGCTCGTCTATAAATACTCTCTTCTACTCGTCAATAAAAACTCCTTTTAACTCATCCAAAAAAGCTCTTTTCAACTCGTCTACAAATACATCTTTCAACTCATCTATACATACCATTTCAACTCGTATATAAAAGACCCACTTCAGCTCGTCTATAAAAGATCCACTTCAGCTCGTCTATAAAGACTCCCTTCAGCTCGTCTATAAAGACTCCCTTCAGCTCGTCAATAAAGACTCCCTTCAGCTCGTATATAAAGACTCCCTTCAGCACGTCTATAAATACTCTCTTCTACTCCTTTCAACTCATCCATAAAAGCTCCCTGCAGCTCGTCTATAAAAGACTCCCTGCAGTTCGTCTATAAAAGACTCCCTGCAGCTCGTCTATAAAAGACTCCCTTCAGCTCGTCTATAAAAGACTCCCTTCAGCTCGTCTATAAAAGACTCCCTTCAGCTCGTTTATAAAAGACTTCCTTCAGCTTGTCTACAAAAGACTCCCTTCAGCTCGTCTATAAAAGACTGCCTTCAGCTCGTCTATAAAGGCTGCCTTCAGCTCGTCTATAAACGACTCCCGCTCCCTTCCCCTGATCTGTAAAGACTCCCTCAGCTCGTCTCAAATGAATCCCATCAGCTCGTCTATAGGGACTCCTTTCAACTCGGCTATAAAGATTCCCTTCAGTTCGACTACAAAGACTCCTTTCAACTCTTCTATGAAGACTCCTTTCAACTTGTCTATAAAGACCCCATTAAGCCCGTCTTTCTGGTCTCCTTTCAGATCCTCCAACAAATTTGTAATTTCTTCCGACTTTGACGAACAATTGGAATAAAGTTTTCTTATTGGATTTTTCCATTATTTTCTGATAATTTTCCTTTCATAACTCGATTTTCTTATTGGATTTTGAATTTGATATTCTTCTACCATTTGAACAATGTTATTTTTCCATTAGATTTAGATTAGAGATTTTTTTTATCTTTGGCTATATGACTTCCAAACCACTTGAAACCGGTAAATTCTAACACTAAATATAAAATAATCTCTCTCGTTAACATGCAAACACCATCATGCTTACCAGGACACGTTGAAAATTTGCACCCACAGCCTGGACGGCTTGTTGAATTTCTTCCAGGGCACATTCTCGATCTTTGAGATTATCGCCCAGCTGTGTGTCTATAACGCAGACAACCGTCAACTGTTGTTGTGTTGTCCATTGTATTGGCTGCTGTTGTTGTTGTTGTTGCAGCTGGAGCTGCTGCTGTTGTAGTTGTTGGATTTGTTGTTGCTGTTGTGGTTTAGCGTTAACCACTGCTGCATTGCTAGCCATAATTCTAAAAAAATTATTATGTATGTATCTTTTTGTTGTTGTTTTCTTCTTCTTCGTCTCCTCCTCCTCCTTTTGCTGTTGCGGCTGTTTGCCTATATCTTTCGTTTCGCGTTTATCTTTTACTTATTACGTTAAGGAAAAGAGTTTGATCTCTACGAAGGCGACGACTGCGAATGACTACGACAACGCGATTTCGAATTCCAATTCACATTCACACACAATTTGCGATATGCTATTATTTTTATTTTGATTATCTTGTTAATGTTGGTGCTACTGTTGTTGTTGATAGTTGTGTTGTTGCACTTTCTGAATTATTTCTTTTGCTTCTTCTTCATTGACTTCTACTATTCTTGCTATTATATTTATGGATTAAAATCAACGCAAAGATTCCACCACACAAACACACAGTGGCACGCTCTGCTTTGCCTGTGAACCGTTTAAATCATTGAAATCGAATCGTAACAAACAGGCAGTCAGATGGACAGCCTGGCTGGCTGGCTGGCTGATAGTCAAAAAGAAAGAAATCGAAATCAATTAAGAGGAGGCAGGCACACACTTGAATTTTGTTTGTGGAACACTACACACAAAACAAAAACACACTTCCACTTATTCTTCTTCGCCACTACTGCTGCTGTTGCTGCTTCGTCTTCACCCTCTCACAACAACAACGATGTCGACGACGACGACACATTTGACATTTGGTCGGTCGTTTAAAGGGGGCCCCGATTGGATTGTGGGGGAAGTTTTGCGGAACTTTTTTCAATATCTTTCACTTTTTTCCAATATATCTATACACCTTTTTCACTTGAAGATTTTAATTTTCACTTTTTTTCTTTCTTAGCACTTGATTTTCCATTACATTTCATGAAAATAGCGAATTTTCTTCAATTATTTTTCTTTATAAATTTTACTGTGGTATTTTTGTACGATCCGAACGTACGTCTTAACACTTTTTTCCTCCTAGCCACTTATGTATGCTTTATGTTTGACATTAGGGTTACTTAGATCGACTTTCGACCTTATTGGCAGTTCTTTCATATTCACTAGTTTCTTAGGTGGCCTTTGCATTATCTTCGTAGTGCATTCATTCTAATAAACGGTTACAATTTAAATTTGAAAAGTGAACAAAAAATATGGTTTAATGCGGGTATTATTTCAAAATATTTAAAGGGTATATAGAGGATTATAAATCATAGAGAAACGCAAATAAATAGTATAAAAATAAAAGTAAATTAAAACAAAAATAGGTTATTCATATTAGGGATCTCTAAATCGAATTTTGACCGTTTATAAATATATTAATCTAATAAGAATGCTGGTGTTATTATTTCGCAGTGAATAGTCATGTATATATTTTAAGGGAATCAATTGGTCTGTTTGTAAAGTTGAAAAGTACGTTTAGATTTACGAAATCCACTTGATTTCAAATGTCAATTCCATAGCGTATACGTCAAATATAATCAACGGGATTTGTGAACAGGATTAATGGAATTGACGTTGGAGATCGAGTGGATTTAGTAGTCTTAACATAGCCTAAGGCCAAATGTTATCAACAGTTGACTGTTTTGAATTAAAAATGGCGAAATCGATTCGTTACTAGTTGTCCTGTTAAATAAACCTAGATCAAAACATAATCAAAGACATAAAAGTATAAAGATAGGACATTTCATAGTCACGAATAAAATATAGATGTCGGTGGGGTATAACATTATGTTATGTCACGATATGGTGACATAACATAATGTTAAATTTTGAGTGAAATGATTTTTATATTCTCTGAAATTCACTGGAATTTTGACAAACAACTAATTTTAAAGAGACAGATATAAAAAATATTCTCACACAGTTGAGCACTTTTTTCACAAAACAAAATAAAATACATATAAAGCTGTGAAGCAAATTTTCTATATATTTATAATTTTGTTGAAGCAAACAATTGAAAATTACAACCGGAATCAAGGATGAACCCAAAACGCAGTATATCTTGTACACCATCATAAGTGAGAATATAACGAACGCCAGTCAATAATACCAATCTACAAATATTGCCGAGTACACAGCTGTTTGATATCTCATTGAGTATTTCTCTGTAATTTTGTTCCAAGAAACATCTCCCACCTATGGTATCCAAAGACTTTCTACCCCATGAAGTGTATCTGATGTTGCAATTGTAACACATAATGAAGAAAAATTATAAGTAACTGCGGTCCTGGACACTTTATAATTTACCAATATTATAGATTAAAAGTGATGTCTAAATTCAAATTTAGTTGTTTCTTTCCTTTTCTTATCCAGAAGGATTTTAGGTAGAAATATTAAGATGAGCAATACATATTACCTATTTTCATTTTTTACAAACCTTTTGACCGATTTATTATTCACCACCACATTGTCTATATTTTGTGGAGGATTTTATGGAAAGAATAAACTATATCCTCCATGTTCGATGTTTAGGAAACATTTATAGATATTTGGAACAAATCGAATATTTCCTTCGAGAGTAGATATTGGGTCTGTTTCAGTTTTTCGACTTTTATACCCTCCAATGTAATTAACATTGTCATTTCGTTTGTAATTCCTCGAAATAACCTGGCTATATTTTCGCGTTTTGGGTATAGCGAACTTCCATAAAAAATGATTAATATAGATCCAAGTTCAGGGTAGCCCCCATACAATTGTACCCCCAATCTTCGGTATTTTTGCCATGTTTTTAATCGGAATTTGTTGTAATTTCATTTTCTCCTGAAAGATCATGGTGGAGGATAAAGTTCGCCCCGGCCGAACTTAACCACTTTTTATACCCTCCACCATAGTATGGAGGGTATATTAATTAAGATAGATCGCCAAAATTTTGTTGTCGTTTGTCTGCAGGCAGGTCAATTTCGAAGATGGGCTATATTGGCATAGCTCTCACATAAGGGTACCTCCCAATTTTCGGTTCTTGGTTTCCTGGATTCTTATTAGGTACCAAATTTCCCCACTAAAAATTATAAATATAGGTGCACTTTTTTTTTGTAGCTCTTATAAAACGGTACTCCCATTTTCACTTGGGGGTTTTGAGCGTATTTTTCGACTGAGTTGGATGTAATTTAGTGCTTCGAGTTTTTATTGGGTAGCAAATCTCTCCACAAAAAAATATAAATATAGGTTTTTTTTTGGGTAGCCCCCATATAAGGGTACTCTTTAATTTTCGGTATTTTGGGGGTTTTGAACGCGTTTTTCAACCGAATTCGCTGTAATTTGGTATTTTGTAGTCGTATATGGTAACAAATCTCCCTACCAAAAATTTTTAATATTGGCCTCCTTTTAGGGGTAGTCCCCATGTAACCCCCTTTCAGTTAAAATATGAACTTCTAAGACGATTTAGCCATCTTTTGTAATCAATCCGTCTTCTAAGGATATCGTGATAAAAAAAAACTCCAACCTGACGATGATGAAATACAACGGCCAGCATTTAGGCAACTCCCCCATATAATGATACCTCCTGAAGGAAAGTATTGAGATAAAATATTGGGTTCGAAATTGAGCTATTCGGTCATTAATTAAGCAAATATAATCATAATTCCCAATATTCGCTAATTCCTACCTTTGTAATCAATATTGGCCCCCCTTTAGGCAAAGCCGCATGTAAGTTTGTACTCTAAATTGCAGTCTTTTGAGGATTATATACACATGTTCCACTCGATTTTTTCACTTGTCTACGGGACGGGCGATTTTTTACCATTTTGTGCGATTTGGGTGTACCACCGTTCCTAGGCTGTAATCGTCCGCTTGAGCAGTATTTTATGAACCAACGCCGTTGTAAAAATAATTCGTCCACTATGTTTGTATTTTGACAAATTCAAATTAAGCTTTTAATTTTTGAAAAAATGGCAAGCATTTGTTGAGACTATCTATAACATTACACTCAATGTTGGGAGCCATATTTTTTCTGAGAGAGCTTTCAAAATATGCATTTTTTTCTAGTCGACTTCAACACCATCTATATCGAAAAATTGACATTTTTTTGGAAAATGCATTTTGTCCAGTCTTTACTATTACAGGTCTTTGACCAGAGGTAGTGGACCGATATCCCCCATCTTCGAACATAAACTAAGTTTGGAAGAAATATTAAGATGTGCTAAGTTTAAATGAAATGGGTTGCTGCCTTCGAGAGTTATAGTGCTCACCAGCCAGGCATACAGACTGACAATGCTCGGGCGGACGGACGGACATGGCTAAATATACTTCAAATCTTCTGAAACGGATTTGGTCCCAAGAAACACCGTATCAAAGTGTATATACCCTCATTAGCCTAAAGACTTTGTAAATAATTTTTTATCTCATGAGTCACACCAAGCCACTTGCGATTATTAAGAAATATTGCATAGTTTACTGACAAATACTGGCCTTCGAGGCATTTTTTTTTAACAAATGGTTAACTGTCAAAGGCAAAATTCCGATTTTAACGAAAAAAGTAAAAAATTTTCAACATAAATTCGACAAAAAATGTTGAGGTCTCTAGCTGAAGGACAAGATAATTTTAATGTCGTATATTAATAACATAAAATGCATGAAATAATCCGCTTCTCAACCAGGTTGAATATCAAATTTACAGCCCTTTGGCCCCAGATTACATGAATAACTTTTATGGCGTAATTTCATACATATGGATCTCTAATTTTAAGAACCATTGGTATAAGGAAATAAAAAATATATTTTTATTTTATGTATTCACTCCTATACTACAACAATGGAATGTAATATTTCATTTATTGGTTGCAATAAACCATAAAAAGATCGAATTCTGTCAACTCCTAACTTACCTTTGGTACCTCTGGTCACAGCTGATATTACACATCATTTATGGGATAAAATCGTTTAGTAAAATAGGTGGCAACTATTTAGAGTTTTTTCAAGTTCTCTTTTAAAACAATAACGGTACTTTCCACATTACCAAAAGCATTTGCTTAGTGCAACAAGTATTTTTTTTAAATGCCTAGAGAAGAACTAACTATTGAAGAGCGAAAATAATGATTAATAATCATGAAATGGGAAAATCCTATTCCGAAATAGGGAAAATGATTAACAGAACCAAATCAGCAGTCCAAAAAGTGGTTAATCGATACAAAAAAGAAAATATAATTGAAAATAAACCGCGATCATTCGAAACTAAATTTGAATAAAAGTGCTCAAAAACTCAACATTCCTGATAATTATTACTTCCAACAGGACAATGATCCAAAACACACTGCTATTGACGTTAAGAAATGGATCGTATACAATATACCACACATGCTGATAACACCTCCACAAAGCCCCGATTTAAATTCGATTGACCAACTGTGGGATCATCTAGATAAACAAATCTGAAACCATACAATTTCCAATAAGCCCCAACTCAGAATACAAATACAGAATGAGGTAAAATACTATAAAACATGTATACATGTATACACTATAAAACATGTATACTCAATGCCCGAACGATTGAATGAAATTTAAAACTTAAGGCATATCCTACCAAATATTAGGTAAGTCAATTTTATTGTAAAAATGAAGTAATATTAAATAATTCATTATTTTTGTCCAGGGGTACCAAGACTTATGCTGTGCAAAAATATGGACTTGGCACTATGTCGATTTTGTTTTAATAAAAATGAAATATTACTTTAATTTGTTGTAGTATAGGATTGAATACATGAAATAAAAAATATATTTGAAATTTTGTGAATTACTTTTTGAGGAATTACTGAAGTCATAGAAAGATTTCCTTAGTAATAATAAAGAAGATCAGAATGGCATCTCTGTTCTACCTTCACAAGAGCGACATCTGTTGCATACCACTAACAGTATATTGATAATAATCGTAATCGTTTCATAACGATAACACTATACATTTCGGTTGAATTTAACATCGCAAAAAAATACTATTTCAAATTAAAATCTAAATCAAAAAAGTATTTCCATCGCCAAGTGTGCAATCAAGTTTTAATCGATTATTGTCCATAAATAAATTGCAGATTTTCACTATTAGCCTTAATACATGTCATACCGTAGCAAATAAATAATTCCTTTAGTTTAAATGACCGTTTCATTACCGTCTATGATTAAAAGTATCTAGATTATAAGTATACTATTCCCGAAGCTGCAAAGTTCGAATTTCTTTTCGATTTTATAAATTTGAAAAGTTTTAGCTTCTTTTTGAATATGGGAACAGACAAAAATTTTCGTCCAATTTTACTACAGAAACAGCTCCAAATAATAAAATGAATATTGTATTCAGATATTTTTTGAAATACATTCTTCTTCTTTTTAAAAATGTCAAAATGAGTTGTTTTCTGAATGAAGTATTTTTTTCAATTACCCTGCAAATTATATTTTCGATTTGTCATCAACTTAAATTTACCCCTCAATCGATTAGTCCAAATGTCGACCTTCATCACCCTACATCTGCCCAAAAGAAACGATAACACCACCGCCAACAGAAAAAAAATCCATCAGTTGAATTCACCATGAATCGAAAAACCATCTTCAGATAGAAACGAGAGAACGAACTGAACGGATAGATTTTGAAAGTAAGGCAAAAATAGCAAAGTATACAGAACGACTGAACGACAACGGACGGTTCGATAAGATACAACAAAAACAAAGAAATTAAATAGCAAAAAAATATATGAAATAAAAATAATAGCAGAAGCAAGTGAGCGAGGATGTTATTGCGGGTGTTTGGTGAATGAAACAAAAAGAAATAAATAAAAAAGTAATCAAGTGTTTTATTTAAATATTTACGTGAGTGTGTGTGTGGAGATCTACTTTAAAGGACTTTGCAGAAAATAAATAAAGTCAGTGTGTGTATGTTCATTCGTGTGTGTGCTTGCAAAAAGGAAACGAAAAAAAAACAGTATATTTCTTCTTCTTCTATTTTTGCTCATTATTAAAAGAGGTCAAAGGAAGAAGCAGCAGCAGCAGCAGAGCGACAGGCAAATTTCAAACAAAAACAGTGCCAGGAATAGGAGTTTATATCAAAATACCCATGCACTAACAGCAACAACAACACACCGTACTGCTAAACAGGCAAACCAGTAAGAACAACAACAAAAACAACTGCTACACTACACTACTACTGCAGGAAATCAAATAACAACATCCATTGCATCTCTCCTTCTCTCTCTCTCTGTCACACTCTTTAGGGAGAAGTGAGAGTGCATTTGGCAAACAAAAACAAAGTGCAGCAAACAATAACAAAGTAATAACAATCATAATTATTAGAATAACAACAACATCAACGACGACGACGAAGGAGGTAGCGAAAACAATAACAACAACTGTATACGCACTCGTATGTTAAACAGATGTGTTGATGGACGTGCATGATTATGTTGGTTGCTGGGGAAAACTCTCTGTTAAGGGGGAGGGGGAAAACGGTTTTATTGAAAAGTGAAGTTGTTTGAAGTTATTGGTGTTGTTGTTGCTGTTTTTCTTGTTGGCTGCATACAACAATTTTTGCGTTGTGTTTATGCAGTGTATGTGTGTGTGTTTGTGCGTGCCTGTTTGTTGGAAAATTGCCTGTGGGCTGTGTGCGTGTGTCTGTGAATGGGCTGCCTCTAATAGACAACTAACGAACGCACAGAGTTTATTCTGCCAACGTTGACGTCAACGTCTCTGTCTTCGTATCTACCATTCAAGTTATAACTTTAATTTTGTGATTTTTTAATAGTTTCTTTTACGAAAAAATAAAGTGTTTGTGTGTTTTTATTTAAAAAAATATTAATTTTTATTCTTCTTTTAAATAAAATAGTTAATTTTAATAAAAAGTGGTAATAAAAATTGAAACAAAAAATAAATAAAAAAACAACCAACTTTAACTGCAAAACGGAAGCTGCTGTATCTCTTCTCTGCTCCCCATCTTCTTACATCGTATTAGTTGCCCAGTAGTCGTAGTAGCATCACAGCATTACCAAAAATGGGTCTCAACGGTTGCTGTTCATGTGTGAAATTTTTAATGGTCCTTTTTAATATATTATTTTGGGTAAGTAGTATTTTTTTTTGAAATTTCTTCCTTCTCACACTCCCACATCAAAAGTTATATTTATTCTCCACCCCATTCCCCCTCCCCCCCTTAGCAATTTGATATTTTTAATCATTCATGCATCATAATTTCTGGTATATCATTTAGGCAGACAGACAGAGCAGAGCCAGCCAAAACCCGCCATTGGCCATCGTAGTAGTCGTTTTTGAAGCCTAGAGATGATGGAAAATCTCATTGGGCTATGTTGTTGGGTTTTTCATAATGTAATCCGTATTGACCCTTTTTTTCCGAAATTTTGTTTTTGTTGTTGGAAGTGAATGGCTCTGTGTGTATGCTCCACTATGGGTTTGTTTTTTTTTTTTGTTGTTGTTGTAAAACTCCCCCACCTTAAAATCATATTTGATTGTACTGCTCTCACACTCTCTCTTCAAACTCCTTTCTCTATAAATATCTCATCTCTCTGGTTAATGGTGCTGCTGTTATGCTCATCTCTTGTGTTTATATATGAGGCAGAGTTGCCAATTGGCGATTCCAATAAATTAAATAATGGCCAAAAATGGACTAAAATGGGGCATTATTTATGCGAAAAAGCCAAATATCGTATCGTAAAATGTGGATAATTATTTTTATTTTTGGTAGAAAGATTTGCTACCCTATTTGAAGTCAGTTCAGATGAAGAATTACCAAAATTATGAAAATTTAATTTATACTTGAGTAAATTATTATTAAAATAATAGACAGTGGCGCCCAATGTGGAAATTACCATCTTTCTAATACGGAAGTCTAAAAAGATCGATTTTTTTTGAAAATGTTAAAGGAATTTATTTTTCAGTGGTCTTTAAAAAAAGAATTGTTAACAATATTTGAGAGATTTTTGGTTAACATAAAATGGCGCCCAAGGAGGATATTACTCATAACAATATATTTTGTAAGGCTTCGACAATGATACCGACCTTTTATACGAGTTAGAGGGATTGACAATATTACTAGGAATAATTGTTGATATTATGAATGGGATTTTTTTACGAATAGAAAAATGGCGCCCAATAAGGAAAAATGGTGTCCAAGGAGGAAAATACTTATTGAAATAGTTTTTAAGACTACGAAATTGAATCCGAAATTTTATACTAGGCAGAGGGCTTGCAATATTAATATAATTATATAATATATTCAAATGATATTCTAATGTAGGTCATTTGTGTTAAAAAAAATGGATTTACAAATTGGCGCCCAACGAAGAAATTACCCAAAGCAATCTCACTTCCATGTTCTGTACTTTGAATTGACGCTAATAATATGAATTATTTGTGTGTTTATGCTATGAAAGTGATTGTTATACAAATCGAAAATGGCGCCCAACGTATGTATTTAAAAAGTTTAATCATAATGCATCTCAATACCTTACAAATGTTGTGAGGTATTGAAAATATAAAAAAAAATAATTTCTTAGTAAATCCATCATAGGAATGGTAAATGTTAATTTATGAAAATAATAAGCCCATACATTGAGGATTGCTCTACGATTGGAAAATGGCACCCAAGAGTGGCTTAAACAGTTTCGAGGTAACTTAATATACTTTTTTGAAAAAATTGAGCCCGAATGATAGACAATATTAAAAGGAATTGTTGATGATCTTAAAGTTCGGATTATTACATTAAGATCGTCACGTTATTAAATGGCGCCCAACGGTTTAAGCAGTACTTTCATATTTCTAATATTTTTTTTGTGAAAAAAACCCTGGGTGATAGACAATATAAAAATTAAATGTGATTGATCATAAGGAACAAACTTATTATACGAATGGAAAATGGCGCCCAATGTGTAGCTTGTACTGTATAAACATATTTTCTTTAAGAACAATGGAAGGGAAATTTTGAATTACATACTGGAAGAGGAAGAAATTAAGAAAGTTATTATTAAAAATGTATCCATACTCTTCAAAATACCGAAATTTGGCAGTTACCATTATATGGGGGCTATCGTAAAATGTGGACCAATGTTGATAATTTTGAAATACCAAAAATTATAGAAAATACCAAATTATAGCCTATCCTAGTCTAAAAAAACGTGTCCATACTCCCCAAGATATCAAAGTTTGGGATATACCGTAAAAAGTGGACCAATATCAAACATGTTCAATAGGAAGATTCGGACCTGATAGACCTCAAAACCAATAAACCAAAACCTCGAAACCAATAAAAAAAATGTCCAGGTGTGGTGATCTTGTGTGCAGTTTGTCCAATGTAAAAGACCATGCTTTGATATGTCATCCTCTACTTGATCTTTCCATCGAATGGACTCGTAGACTCGCTTTTATATGGATTTTTAGATGGGGCATCCTCATCCATTCGCACAACATGGTCTAGCCACATTAGTCACTGCAGCTCGATACGTCTTCTCTCAAACACAGCATGAGCTGCCTCATCTGCTTGTGCAAGTAGCCATGCTTCAGATCCATATACCAGCACGGGTAGTATCAGCGTCTTGTAGACTGTGAGTTTGGTCTGGCGAGAGGACTTGCTCTTGAATTGCTTACTCAGACCATAGTAGCATCTGTTGGCCAACACTGATGTCATTTGTTTGGTCTGGCGAGAGGACTTGCTCTTGAATTGCTTTCTCAGACCATAGTAGCATCTGTTGGCCAACACTGATGTCATTTGTTTGGTCTGGCGAGAGGACTTGCTCTTGAATTGCTTACTCAGACCATAGTAGCATCTGTTGGCCAACACTGATGTCATTTGTTTGGTCTGGCGAGAGGACTTGCTCTTGAATTGCTTACTCAGACCATAGTAGCATCTGTTGGCCAATACTGATGTCATTTGTTTTATTTATGTTGGTACCGAGATATATAAAATCGTTGACTATATCGAAGCTGTAGTTTTCAAGTTCCACAATTGGTCCGAGTCTACTGGACGTCTTGCGCTTGGTCTTGTCGCCATTTACTGTCAGACTCACTTTGGCAGCTTTCCATCTGCATGTAAAAAGTATCCCTATAAGAGGTCAGTCTTTCATCTATATAAGATCAGCTTTCCACCTACAGATGACCAGCCTCCCGTCTGTAGGGGGCCAGCCTTCCTCCTATAAAAGACTCTGCCCTCTATCTACAGATTACCAGTATCACACACGTCAACCCCTAATTAAAATCTCTGTATAGCATTTCTAGATCCCTTACCCTATTATCTTTGACCTCTATCTCCGGATGGCCAGCTTTCGTTTAATAAATCCAGCCTTCTCTCTCTTATAATAGGCAACCCTTTCACCCATAGAAAAACCAGTTTTTGAATAATGTGTACCAAGGTATTACGGTTCAAATTGTCTATATTGTGTGTCCATCCTGCGAATAGAGTGTGCCAATCTATATAATATCCCAAGGAATTCCTTCTTGTTCACCTCTATATTTCAGATGCATTCCTCGAATTGAGTGATGGCAACCCCGTTCTCTTTTCCAAAACAGCCTCACTAGCACACACAGCATCACTTGGATATTGAAGTTGAATCCAAAATCTCTACCACACAATTCTCTTTTACTCGTTCTCACATTTAATCAAATGACAATGTCCTGTTTTTCTTGTTCTTCTTCTTCTTTTCGTTGGTTTCTTGCCCTGTTCCATTTTGTGGGTGGCTTAGCCAAGATTACCACATTAGTATCCCATCCATGCATATTCGCCACATGGAAAAAATCCCATTTCTTTAATTTTACAATCCCGCGAGAACAGGAAAAAAATAAAACGAGGAAGTAGAAAAAAAAAACAGATTCATTACATTTGTTTGTGTGTGTGTGTGAGCGAGGGGGTGTTAAAATTGTGGACCAAGCCATTTTTTATGTTGGCTCATTAGAGGATTAGTTTTGAAAATATATGGAAAACTATGCTCACACACAATCGCAGGAACATATATTTTTTGACAGATGTTAGTGGTAAGGTGAGGAAGTTTTGGAGACTTGTTGGCGGAGTTGGGTACTTAGATAATAAGTGATATTGTGGAGGATAAAATATAATACTTTGGGGATGTGGTTGCGGATTTATTGTCCATGGTCTTTGAGACAAAGTTATAATGGAAGAAAATAACATACAAATATAAAAAATAGGGATCATAATTTTTTCAATCTGAAATATTTTCAATTTGCAATTCCTTTTGTACCACTTCGAAATATTAATCGGAGACCCCAAATTCTGTCTATAGTATGCCACCATTTCATTTTCATGTCGAATATCGGCCTTCCACCAGTCCTCCATCTATAGAAGGACGGATATCCATCAACTGCAGAAGGCCAGGTTTCCACCTACAGATTACCAGCCTCCCATCTTTATAAGACCAGAATTCCGTCTATAGAAGGCTTGCAATCTATAAAAAAATGACCAGTCTTCAACCTATAGTAATATAAAATCCATAATTGAACTGAAAGAAGGCCAGCCTTTCATCTATAGAAGACCGCGCTTTCAATTGTAGGAAATCTGCTTTCCATCTACAATCTTGCGACATTTATCCAGTCTATCTATAGGAGATCCGACTTTCAACTGTATAAGGCCAGCATTCCACCTACAGCTTACCAGCCTTATTCATATTTAACATCCCATCTAGGTCTGCATTCCACCTATAGAAGGCTTGCTGTCTATCTACTGATGGTCAGCTTCATCTTTTCATCCACAGAAGTTCAGTTTTCCTTTTATTGAAGGACAGCCCTACGACTATAAAAGTCTTGCTCTCTATCTACAGATGACCAGCCTATCGTCTAAAATGCCATAATTCAATCTGTAGAATTCAACCTTTCCATGTAGAGAAGGCCAATCCTTCAACTGTAGAAGGTCAGACTTCCATCTACAGATGTTCAACTTTTAATTTAGCGAAGGCTACCTTTCCATCAACAAAATACTTGATCTCTATCTACAGGTCACCAGACTTTCATCTGTAGAAGTCCAGCATTTTACCTATAGTAGACCAGCCTATAAATTGCCATCCTTCCACGTATCGGACGGACTTCCCACTATTGATGGTCAGC